TCTCTTCGATGTCATATGGGAAAGCGGAGAGGTACCTCAGGACTTTTGCAACGCGAATATAGTGAATATATTTAAGAACAAAGGAAGTGCATCAGACTGCGGAAATTACCGGGGAATTTCACTATTGGCTATCGGAGGAAAAATTCTTGCAAAAATTATGTCAAATCGCCTTCACCCACATATAGAAAAAATCCTTCCAGAATCGCAAACGGGTTTTCGCACCAACCGTGGCACCGTCGATTCCATATTTTCCATCCGCCAACTACAGGAAAAAGTAAAAGAGCAGCAGTCTAAACTATATGTTGCATTCATCGATCTAACAAAAGCCTTCGACTCTATGAACAGAGATGCACTTTGGGCAATTATGAAAAATTTCGAAGTACCCAACAAATTTCTTACAGTGTGTAAAAGCCTCCATAACAACAACCAGTCAAGAGTGTCACATCATGGATCACTGACCGATCCCTTCCTGACTAATACAGGAGTTAGGCAGGGATGTGTCTTAGCAATATATTCATGGCAGCGCTCTCCATTATAGTGGACAGCAAACTGCAGGAGAGAGGATTGGGCATTAGATATAGATATGACGACGGTCTGTTCAACATAAAAAGACTGAGGGCAAAAACACGTACAAAATTCATCACAGAACTTCAAGCAACTTACGCTGATAGACTACGCTCTAGTTGCAAACACGTTACAACAATTACAAGAAATGTTGAACACATATACCTGGGCATACGAGGCTTTGGGCCTTAAGCTAAACATCGATAAAACCAAAATCATGTGCACCCCCCCGGAATATAACAATGCTGTAAAAATCGGAGGGGAACTATTGGAATATGTAGCGGAATTTAATTACCTCGGTAGTTTAATTTCGGAAAAGGCAAATATCGACTCTGAAATTCAGCGCCGGATTAGCAATACCTCAAGAGCATTCTGGAAATTAAAAAACAGGGTTTTTTACAATCATGACTTAAGTACAAAAACGAAACTGGCAGTGTACCGAGCAATTATAATCCCCACCATGTAATATGGGAGCGAAACCTGGGTGCCGCCGACACATGAAGGCATTAAACAAGTTGCAACAGAGACACCTTAGACAACTTTTAAGAATCCGGTGGTTCCATCATGTCTCAAACGTATCGGTCCTTGAAAAAGCTAACTGCGAGAGCATTGAAGTCATGGTTACAAAATCCCGCTTAAGATGGGCTGGTCACGTATGCAGAATGCAAGAAAACCGCATACCAAAATCTCTGCTTTACGGTGAGCTTGTAGACGGTAAGAGGAGGTCGGGTGAACAACTCAAAAGGTACAAGGACATTTTCCACAAAAACTTAAAGGGGATTAACATGCAGAATCATTGGGAAGAAGCAGTTCACAATAGAACGCAATAGTGAAGAATTGTAAACTCAGTTAACAGCGACAACCAAAAAGTAAAGAGGCAACAAAGTAATGAGATTTTTGAATGTCCGAAGTGCGGTAGGCAAATAACATCACGTATCGGGCTTTTCAGTCACAGAAAAGCTCATGAAAGAAAACGCCTTGCGTGACCATCTTTTGATGCGTGTCAAATACTCGTCAGCGAGTAATGGCAGTATTGTATTGTATAAAACTCAATTTTTGAGTATGAAAACTTATCATCTTGAATTCGTACTGAATTTCGTTTTTAAATAATGTGGATACTGTAAAGGGAAATTCGAAACAATAAGTCTAAGCTGTGACATGCTCAGTTTTTAGTCGGCCGACTATTTAGTTGTGAAACTGACAACAATACTTTCTAATGGAGCCGATCGGCCGACTATTTGATGGCATGTGAGCGCGGCTTCATAAGAATACATTTGTTGCATATATGTATGTAGTCGGCCAACCAAAAATTGCCTGTCAGCGCATAGCCTAACGCAACACAATGTAATCAAATAGTCGGAAGTTTGACAGGTAAAACTTTATGTGTGGAAGGGACTTTAAGAACTCAATCACACTAAAACTATTTGAAACTTAATTAAAACTAACTTTTTAAAACTTAATCGGCTTATGTCAATGCCGCAAAAATAACTCTGACCACTACCAACTTTAAAAAACTCCTCCCGAGTCAATTATAAAGTCCCTGAAAATCTTTTACAGGTTTTCCTAAATTAAATAAGGTCCGTAATAGTCTAAACCGTTTATTTTAAATAGTATTAAACCATCCCGCGGGTAAAATAAATTATAAACTTTCCGATTTGTACACAAACTTCCAGTTTCTAACGGAACGGTTCATTTAATTCAGAAAGTTTATATAATAGAACCATAATTTAAACTTTTATTTTAGTTGCTTGTCATCGGAACTGTTTCGCATTTTATAGGGTTTCTTTTATATTCTCTTAAAAAAATGCTGACGCAATTCGGAAAGTAAGGACCGTATGATCGAAAAAAAAAACGGCGTCAAACGGCTCGGGAATGACAATCCATGATTTTGGCGAGGTCAATTTCTAGACGTCATTTACCAAAAAATGTTTTTTCTTTTTAGTTACCGTGAGAATATCGTTCAGGACGATGAAAAAATTCTGGTAAAGTTTGAGCTTTTAATATTAATATTAAGAGACAAATTCCGCGTTTTGTAAAAATCAATATACAGGGTGGTCCGAATTATATTCCGGAAACTTCGGCAGCATATTCTGCAGATAAAAATAGGTAAAAAAGTTCGTATAAATATATGTCCTAAAATGGCATAGTTTCGGAGATACAGGGTGTAGAAATTTCAACTTTATTTCGATTTTTTCCAAATAATTTCTGAAGTAACGTCAATATTTATATGAAATTTGGTGTTTGGGAGTTTTTTGACATGAGAAATTTGATTTTGATGTTAATATGTATATAAACAATAAAAATGAAACTTCTACACCCTGTATCTCCGAAACTAAGCATTTTTGGACATGCATCTATACGAACATTTTTACTTATTTTTATCTGCAGAATATGCTGCCGAAGTTTCCGGAATACAGTTCGGACCACCCTGTATATTCGTAGGGTTGGTACTTTATTTCTCACCATTAGTTACTCATTTTACTACAGCTGTAATAGATTCTTAAACAACTGTCTAACAGAAACGAGCATTATTGAATAGCTTAGATATAATATTATCTTTGTTTATTATTTTATTTCTCGAACGAACCGGCAACACTGTATGCCGCCTTTTATTTCGTCTCTCTGTCTTTCAACTGGTCGTATCCATTTATCTCTCGTATGCATTAAAATACAGATAACGAAAATAAAGCGACCAAGGCTATATATCCTGAGCTGTTATGCATCAGCTCAGGATATATTAGCCTTGGTCCGGTATATCCCACAGTGATACCGTTCTTTTTTGATCACAGGGTATTGCATTAGTTCGCCAGACAGACTATAACTGAAGCTAATATCAATTATCATTAAAGAAGTAATTTATACAGTTTTTTAAACTTTAAAAAGGAATGAATTCATTATTCCACACATACATCTTCATTTGCATATGAAAAGTTATGAATTATTCATGATGATTTTGCAGATTACAGCTCCATTAGTAATTGTTAGCGCATTGTGGGTCGTCTGTTTCGATAAATAACTGAAATAACTCTGAAAATTAGGTTTTTATCTTTAAAATGTTAATAAAAAAGACTTTTTGTGAGGTCTGCGTTCAATCCAAAATGATTTCTTTTAATTGTCCCCTTCCCACGCACAAAATGCGTGTAGCGAAAAAAATGTTACACTTTAAAGAAGTAAGACTATAATCACTATACCGGGTGTTTCTCGAAAGTGGTCCACAGTGAAATTGAAAATGCTATTTTTTTAAATTGAAAATGTTAAAAGTTTACATATAATGATGTCATTCTATTCAAAATGTATGGAGTAAAAAAAACGAGGATATCACATAAAAATAAAAAGATGTAGTTATTTCCGATGAAACAGAAATTGACTGATAACAATTGAAAACGTCAATCAATCCTAATTGCATACCATTATACTAACATACCAAATCTCGTTGTTAATCTTAAAAAATAAAAAAAGTTATAGGGGTGATTTGGTTTGACACCCGGTATAATAATTATTATATACAATCTGCTTTAATAAATATTTTTAATATTAATTAATTATTAAGTGGCAACCTATCATATATTTCTGTTTACAGCTGATTTGTATATCTTGGGTACCTTCGTCTTGTCTAATAAGGTTTCTCTATTTATACTATTTGATGAGATTTAGTATATTTATTTTTTTTATTTCCCCTAAAAAAGATATTTTCCTATTAAAAAAATTGTCGTATTTTTTTTAAATTGGTGCATTGCCAGCCACAGTTTGTCTGTTACATACTTGTCGAATTTTTTTTAATTAAAATATCATTTTTTTTATTTTTTTCACAATTTCTCTTTAACTGAAAAATAATAGAATATGCAAAATCTACAATTTTCTTCCTACTCAAGTAACATTTTTTCCAATATTCATATTTAGTTACAGCGTGGGTTGTGAAAAAACATATTTTTTAGATAGGAAGCAGAGGGTAGCCAGTCTAGAGTAAATTGCTCAATATCTTAATGCAAAATCTGTTCGCCGCCTGTCATATCCAGTTAATACCTCAAGTAGATGGCGTACATGACGTCGATAAATCTGATTTTAGATAGAATGTGTAGCGAAAGCAATAAAACATAGATTTTGGTAATTATTCCACAGTCTCCTTTCCTTTACTTTTTTATGGTATTTTTTTTCTTCGAAAGTAAATAAGTTTCTTCAAAACATGTCTAATAATAATTATATATCATCTGCGTGGCGTTGGAAACAGGAAATCCTATGCAAAGTTTGAACTGTCCAAACATTGGTCCCCCTGTTAATTTTCCAGCGAAGTCGTAAATAGGTTTATTTACGGTTTGCGTATGCTGAATACACATGCCCAATTTGAACAATTTTGGACAAGCCGTTTTTAACTAATTTAAGAAAAACGGCATTTATATTTTCTTAATAACTAAACAATATTTTTATTTTTATTTCAGATAAACCAACCGATGAAATCTTGGCACAAAATGGACACAAATATCAAACTCCAATAGCAACCTTCTTCAATCATCGAATGCAAAATGAACTCATCAACACCCAACGCAACCTATTGCGATCTAAAACAGTTCAGCAAAGACTTCCGCAGCTGCCATATTTATCTCAGCTTCATGATATGCACTCTGGGCTCCATCCTCAATATCCTCAACATCTTTATTTTGAGCACCAAACAAATGAGGTCACCTACCAACTTTATCTTGACCTCACTGGCTATTGCTGACGTTATAGTCATGTTAGAATACATGCCTTTTGCTTACATGCAGGATAGACGAACTGCCTATTACACTTATGGATTTGCCTCGTTTATAATATTCCATGCAGTGTTTACCAATGCTTTTCACTTTATTTCGTGTTGCTTGGCTATAATTCTGGCTATTTGGAGGTATATAGCTGTGAAATTTCCACAAAACAATCAGAAATGGTGCAGCGAGACCAGAACAAAGTACACTATATTTTTCACTTACATTTCATGTGCTTTTGTTTGCATTCCTCTGGTTCTTAGCATGACAATAAACAGTCCTTTAGCCTACAAGACGCCAGAAGGTGAAATCATCTTTAAAATACGTAATCAGACTGATCTAGAGAACGTTACAGTGTACTTAACCAGTTACAGGAACAGCATTTTCAAAAATATCAGTTTCTACGTTTATGGTGTTGTGCTCAAACTCATTCCTTGCATCCTATTGGTAGTTCTATCGACGCTCTTGATAATAGAACTGTTCAAAGCCAAGCAAAGAAAGAAAGCATTATTACATGCGGATAATAAGGAGACAAAACTGCTTCAAAAGAAGAAAACAAACCAGAAACACGCTGAAAAGGAGAAGCAATTCAATCGAACTACGAAAATGTTATTGGCTGTTCTGTTATTATTCTTGATGGCTGAGTTTCCTCAGGCTATGATGGGGCTGTTGCTGCATATATTGGGCGATAAATTCTACAGCGAGTGTTACGTGCCGTTAGGTGAGTTATAAAATAGGAATTTGTAATTTAAGAGCAAGAAGGCGGATGGATACGGATCTCTGTATCGATTTTCTATAATGAAAGATTTATTGAAAGGTTAATAGCTTCTGTGTTGCATCGGAGTTTTGATGTTTGTTTAATAATTAATGTTTGATATAATAATATTTAGGCATAATCGTAGCCTTTACCAACACTTTTAATATTATTCCTTTTTTCCTGAATATTATTTCACAGTTAAAAATATTCAGCATGTTAAAAGATCGCAGATCTCATCTTTTCCATGAGATCTTTATCGAAACCGCTACTACACGTTGAGATTTGGACTCAATCTTGACTCTTGACTGTACAGTTCAAATTTCTCAGATATCGTTACATGTAGAACCCTTTTAATACACTCGAAGAAATTTATCAAAACTTTCGACCGAGAAAAATCAAAGATTTTCCTAGATTTAAGGAAGAACAATCTTCGGATTGTCGCGAGTTTTTTAATTGGACACTGTTTCCTCAACGAACACCTCAGTAGATTGAAGCAACGATTAAACGGCAAATGCAAATTCTGTGGGGAAAATGGGGAAACACCAGAACACCTCATCAATGTGTACGCCGAACATTGATAACTGATATCGGAGATGGAGAACTAGCCTCTGTAAAACCGACTCAGATACTGGCTGTTGCCAAAGCCCTGAGACTGTATGATGTAAAATATAAGGGGACACAATAAATCTTACACTTTTATACAATCCATACTCCAATACAATTTACAATCTACATTAGCGTTTCTAATGTACTAGAATCTCATAGGATAATTTAAATAAAAAAAATGTATAGTCAATAAATTTTATAATACGGTTATTTTGATGGATTGTGCGAGTTTATACAAATCCAGCCAAGTTTGCAATTTTAATTCCATTTCGAAGGACAAAAAAATATGTTATTGTTCCCCAAACTGAAGTATGTATGCGTTATCAAACCAAGCTATTAAAATTCATGGAATAACTTCAACTTGATTTGTGTTTTTAAATTCGTTGTTTAAAATTTATTTTTTCTCATTTCAAATGCGAATTGTTGAAGTACGCGTGAAAAAATAAATCGCAAAATGTGAGCAAAACCAGGATTAATTGGTTTTAATAAATTTATTTTTCCTTTTTAATATTTGCATGCTGTTTTAGTCGTATTTCTAGTATCAATATATCTATATTAAATCAGTTATTTTTTGGGCGATATTTTTTGGCAAATTATTTTCTTTTTTAATTTAATATAACGCATCTTCTATAATCAAAGTAAATAAAATGAAGCTGGGATAGTTACATCATTTATAACTCAAGAATCTCTAAATTGTTGGACTCGTCTCTGCCACAAATAGCAATAGCAAAAGAATTAACTATTAAGAATCGGAAAAAGCAACGAAAAAAATGATATACAGATAATTAATTTTCATTAAATGAGGTTTGGAACTCCGCCATCTTCAGCAATTGATAGTTCACGCCACTTATAGCTAATATGTAATAATTGATGTCCACTGCAAATCAAAGTGATACACTAGACATTATAAAAGATTAATTCAACGAAAGGAAGTCAAAAATTTTCAGGCGGAAATAACGGCAATCCATTATTGTGGAGAAGAAATAATAAAACAAATTCCTTCTGCAACAGAAACTCAATTTTTTTTAACTGCCGATTTTTGTACGAACTTATCTATGCTGAAAATTGCGTCTTCAACTGGGAACTCCTGCCATATGTTTATGTTACAATGTATAGTTTAAGATAATTGTCACTGTGTACCCATCTGATATGGTAATATTAATTTCATGTTTTTTGTGTAAATTTTTAGGTTAAATTGTATTTTATATAAATGTTTTATTTTATTTCATGTTGACTTATGTACGCCACTTCTTGTATGGTATTGACATCAATAAATTATTATTATTATATTAAGATACAACCTACCAACCAAGTACGTGATTCTATAGAGGTCAATTTTAGACAAAAATACAGATGAGAGCCGAATAAAGTTCATAAATACCATTCATAGGCCCAGAACCATCCAGCGGTGCTGTAAAAGCAGTTTCAAAAATGGCTACAAAACTGTAGATGGCCAACATATCTTAAGAATGGTAGAGTAATTCACCAGAGCAGAGACAGACGAAAAAGTTTATAGTAGAACATTCGCCAAAATTCATGGCAGACCTGATAAGCAAAGACAAGAATGTCAAATATGTAGTGGGTCTACTAACAGTGCATTCTTCTTCTAACGGTGCCATACTCTATATAGAGCGTCGGCTACCTCTCGCATATACTTGTGATGTGTGTCATCAGTGTCTCACAAATACACGGGACCTACAGTTTATCGCCTAATCCGAACGGCACTATTTGAGAGGCTGTACAAGGCAAATATACTCAAGGTGCCTTGAGGTGGCGGCTCGTTGGTCGCTCTATTTAGATAAATAAATATTTTTATTTAAATAAATAAAGCGACCGTACTGGCTGGGGATCGAACCCAGTACCTTCCGCTCCGCAGATCGACACACTACCGCTGGAGCAACGGCCTAACCACAACAGTGCATTGCAAACTTAATAATCTAAATCTGATGGGATCGACTGACCAAGCCATGTGCAGATCTTGTCCATCTGAAAAACAAACGAAAGAACACATTTTATGCGAGAAATGTGCAGTTCTCTGTATAAAGCAATGATAACTGGATTATAATCCATTGACGTGTGTGAAAGTGATCTATTTGGAGACTGAACACTCCAAGTTATTAATCTTTTAGAAAAGGATAAGACTGGAGAAAAAGCAGGGACAGGGACAGGAGTATTTGGGCCGAAAACTAAATACTCCGAACCAATGGGCACCTACCCTAGTATCCTTCAAGCAGAAATTTACACTATCGGAAGATGCGTACAATTTATCTTAGATAGGAACTATCGAAAACAGGAAATTGCCATCCTATCCGATAGTCAAGCAGCACTTAACACGATCAACTCAGTAACCATCAATTCGAAGTTGGTCAAAGAATGCCTAGAGAAGCTCAACAAATTAGGCAAAGAAAATAAAGTCCTCCTACTCTGGGTGCCTCCTCACCAAGGGATAGAAGGCAATGAAAAAGCAAACGATCTAGCTAGAAAAGGAGCGAACACTCCACTAACTGGACTAGAACCGTTCTGTTTTCCAAACGGGAACCAAGTGAAAGCGGAACTGAAGAATCTGGAAGACTCCATCCGTAACTTGGAATAGGTGTCCTCCAACGGTCTAAGACACTCGAAAAAGTTCCTCAGAACTTACGACCCAGAAAAATCAAAGGTTTTCCTTGATTTAAGTAAAAACAATGTTCGGATTGTCACGGGGTTTCTAACAGGACAGTCTCCTCAACGAACACCTCAGTAGGCTGAGAAACAATGGCGAATGCAGATTTTGCGGGGAAAATAGGGAAACACCAGAACACCTTATCACTGAGTGCGCCGAGACGACGACCATTCGTGCCATGAACCTTGGTACGTCTGATGTCGAAGATGGAGAGCTTGTCTCTGTGGAGCCGTCTCAGATACTGGCTTTTGTTAAAGCCCTGAGACTGTATGATGAGTTATAACTCAAGAAAGGGGAACACACAATAGATCTATAAGGTCGCGGTGATTAACTCCCCTCCTAAACATTCTACATTCTACATTCTAAGACTGGAGAATGCTATCTAGAGATCAGAACAGGACCACAATAGATCTGCAATGACACTGTATATATTTAACCATTAAATTTAAATACTTCACCAATGTACTCGTAAATCCGCTTTTATATGCATAACTAATTTCAATCGTAAATGGTAAAATTTAATTTGGACGCCCGCGTAGGTCGAATTACCTTTTGAGTGGCTTTTTAAATAATGAAATAAATTTCGAACATTCCCGCTTAAAAATTTCGAAGCCGTACAGGGAATACTTTCGGTTAATTAGTTTACCTTAATCGAGTTTATTTGGAATATTCGGCGGCAAACCGATACAATTCGAAAAAGCGTATATTTTCTGTTTGCTTTTTTTATATTAAATGTAGCAATGTTTTGGCACGTTGATTGGTTAGTTTCGATATTTGAGTAATGTAGCAATTTTAAAATTTTAAGCATAGATAAGTTTTGTGAAGTGGCTTTTGGCCTATTTTTAGTTCTACTGTGGTCATATCATGTGTATTATTATTGTATGTTTATTATTCATGTGTTTATACATTATTATATTTAGATACATGTGTATTTCGATTTCACAAACAACAATACCAGTCAAAACTAATAAATTTACAAGAAGAAAAAGAAAAACTGACGCCACTGCGTTGACACAATTTTGATCGATAATTTATGTTAGCATCAGTACCAATCGCTATTCCTAAAATCCCTTCACAATGTCAATGTGCTACCAGCTATTCCAATCATTAAGGATCACTAGAACGAACAAACATTTTGAGACGCACGGTATGTAGAGCTGTCACGGTGTAGAGGTATTGTGGTTCGACCTACTTTGAATGCATTCAATTATTAGAGATATAGGTATTAATAAGGTTATATTTTATCAGATAAAATTGAAACAAATAATGTAATATTCCTAAACAGCATTATATTATATTTTTTGTGGATATTGTTTTTCGGTGTCAATCGATAGGATTCTGCCAATATCAATACTCTGGATCAAATAAATAAATAAAAGATAATTATTAATCCGTCCACATGAATATTTCATATTAATTATTGGCAAATATAGGAAACTGAAATAGCTTTTTTGTCTGCCTTTCTGTATTAGACAGTGTGTAAATATTAATTAAATATAGTGCTCTGTGGCATGTTTTTTTCCTTCAATATTTTATAATTTATTGTGTTTTTAGCAGTGTACAGGGGGTTTCAAATTCGGCTCTCACCATTGGGAAGTTTCTTTTTTTTTACGAATAATTGTAACTTGATTTTTTACGAATACATATACAGGGTGGTCCGAATCGTATTCGGGAAACTTCCGCAGAATATTTTGCT